TGAATTTAGAAGCAAAGTACGTGATTCCTTCAAACCAGTCCTTCCTGAGTTCATTCCCTTGTCTTTGTCAGCAGCTTATCTATTCTCCTGCCAGTTCATGGAGCTGGAGTTCCACGTTGCCTCATCCTGTATCGACAAGTGCAGCAAGCGACCCAAGTGTTTTGGGGAGAATTATCTTCTGATTTGGAGGCTTCACCATTTCCCTCCTTGTGGAAGTCATTTAAGGAAATATATTCAGTTTCTTCAATCTACTATCAATATTTCTTTTTATGAGGCTTCTTATAAAAGCTTATTTTAATGAACTGAGTTTGACTTTTTAGAAGCCTAGTCTTTGCCTAATTCTTTCCATTAAAGCCAGTGGAGTGAGCTGGCATGAGCAGAAGCACACCGATTATCACTTAGGTTCTTTAAGAAGTGCTAAACAAAAAAATTTCATGTGGTTCTCAATCATTCATTTCTTGCTGATGTGCTCCATGAATTCAAAGAGATTTGAGAGATAATATCTCCTATGGAACCCATGCTGGCTTACTCCTCATGCTAACTTACTCCTACCTTAGGATGTTTCACTGCACCTGTTACAAAGTATGTTTGTGATTATCTACAGCAACACTCACTTTTCCAAATGCATCCTTTTTTTAAATAGAGCAAATGAATATGAAGTTTTACAGGGGGATGAACATACTGGCTCTTCATTGTAAGGTTTTCACTGTGCAATGCCTGTTTTTAAGAGGGCCAATTACTTTCCGTTATAGAAAATGGCTTCCCATTACTCTTAACTTAGCCAGACCTTAGTGGTTCAGGCTGGGGCTTCTTGGGGCCACTAACTAAATTCTTTTAGAAAAGTTCCACACGAATAATTGACCCGTTTCCAAAAACGGGAGTAAGGAAGAATGCATGCCCATTGTCACAGATGAGAATGTTTGGATACTTATGAGCCACTTCATCCGCTTAGCTGCATGGCAGAAGAGTACGGTTTCATGTTGGCTCACAGCAGGTCTGTTCCACCAAACGATGTTTAAGGCACTAGTCCTCATACTAACTTTTTCAGCTGGAGAACCCCACAGACCCTGCTGAATGGGCAATCCAGAAGTATGCTGCTTCCAAAGGGTCATTGTGTCAGCTCATTTGGTTACCACTCTATTAGTAGACAAGATTTTAGGGCCAAGAATACTTTTAATGTGTTCTATGGAAGTATAGGGTTAGACATTTGTTTGACAGGGTGGGAAGCAATGTTGCAAGGGAAAAACAACACACATTATCAAGATAATGCTGAATAAGAAGATCCCCTTAAATTCTCCCCGTGTCTCAGCTAGGTGGGAGGAGCCCTAATTTTCCTTCTCACCTAGACTGGCATGCACTGAAAGGCTTCTGGGGTTCTTATCCATTAATAATGAGGTTTTTCTTTAGCTGTTTTTGACAATCTTGTTGGTGGACCCGCTCCATTCTCCTGGGATGCTTAGAACAGCTCTTTCTTCAGTTTTCTTGTTCTCTCCAAAGTGGAATACTCCCTTTTCCTTCCTCCTCCTCCTCTTCCATTTCCTCCAGAGATCATGGCTTAGAGAAATACTGCCTTAGGTTTGCTGTCATTCTCTGCTTCTTGGGACTATATTACCTAGATGCAAATGTAATAGGCAAGTACATGTTCCCCTTCACTGCTTGGGGATTTATTTTGTGCCTTTTTCATCTGTGTTGCTTCTTAGCTCATGTTTCAGAGATACTTAGTGCATTCCATTAACCTGCAGACTTGCCTCTTCTGTTCACCATGTGCTTAAAACAGCAATCATTTGTCATTTACTATGCACTATAGGAGGCATAATTTCACCTCAGTTGAAGTCCACATATGACGAATTAGTAAAATAAAACAAAGATTTGGCATTAAGAATATTTTTCTAAATTAGATTTCAGGTCTTTGCCATCACAGACTACTGAAGAAATAATTTATTTTAATATAATATATTGATTATATTTAAAAATAATAAATAAATATAATAGAGTATTGTATGTGGATAATTATATATATATTATGCGTGTGTGTGTGTGTGTGTATAAATACAGGTAAAAGAGTACAAGTACTTCTGTACAACTCCAGCACTTTTATGTTTTGCAGCAAAGACTTGAAATCAAACAAAGAAGTCATTCTCCTATCAGGGATAACCTTGCGTGTTCCCACTAAAATAAAAATAAATAAGGAATCAAGCTATTCTTCTGTCACGTTGATGTGTCAGTATGGGCAGATCCAGAGAGACTGAAACCAGCTCTTCTAGTATTAACGCTGGGACCAGAGTATGGGAGTGTGCAGCAGAGCTATGCTGCTGCTGCCTGAACGCAGCTGGTTAATCTTCATGGTACTCTTTTGCACCGTGTGGATTTACAAGCCCCAGACTCCATTTCCTAGCGTAGCTATGCCCTGTAGAGCCCTTGCACAATTTGTTTCTGGAGCTGAAATGCGCTCCATGAAAAATAACCTCTCCACTCTGGAGAGCTGCAGTCTGTACGGTTATGCCTATGTGTGCAGGTAGTGCAGGCTACTAGAAGCAGATCTGCAGAATAAAACCCTTGGTGCTGAGGGCTCAACAGTCACATCATAAATATTTCAGTGGGGGTTACCCTAGATTAGCTCTTTGGTGTTCCCCTGGGTTGAACTCCCAAGAAGAGGTGGAGCTCATTAGATGTGAGAGTACGTTTCCAGTTTCATTTCATCCAAAAGAAATCCAGTTCATGCCATCCACACTGTGAGCCAAAGTGTGACTGGGAGAGTCACTTCAAAAGCGGGCCCTGATCTAAACAAAAATGCTGGTATAGCATCTGTTTCTTTTTCTGCCCCATGATACCTGGGTAACGATGAGCAAGTTGTGTAAGGCAAAATGTCTGCGATTGTTCATTGCTTATTTTGCGAGAAAATAATCTGAGCTGGCAGGGGCTGGATTGATGGACGTCTTGAGCTCTACCAGCTTCTGTGGCACTGGAGGTGAGTGGAACTGTAGTTTGAACACAGGGAAGGAAATCTAAGTTGACAGGCTCTGGTTCCCTTCAATCGTACCTCCAAAATCAGTGCGTCTTTTTGATAGGTTTAATCCAAATTTCTTTGATTTTCTAGATGTAAAATGGGAATCATAAATATAACTCATTTCGCCATAGTATTCTAAGGAGACACTAATCAACATTTTTATGCCTAAGGGATTAATGAATGAGAAACATGAATTAATGTTTGGGGCCCAGGGGAATGCCATGGGGCTGAAAAAAAAAAAAAACAACCTTTGCTGTGAGGGCAGGCAGGATAGAAAAATGTCTTGGAATAATTTTCATCATAATTTCATGTAAATTATATGCCAAGGAATCGTACTTTTTAGGTGTGTACAGTTAATTGTATTTATTCACATTTGCACCCCACTAGAAGTGTTTCATGAGTGCAGATGGCTTTCTGTACACTTTAAAATTCAGCTTAATGTGTTGGGCCAGACTCTCATTTATATTAAGACCACTTTATATAAACTCAGCTAGCATCATGTGTCCACAAATGAAGAGCAAAATCTATTTACACCCACCTCTGCACAGTGACCTTAATTTAAAAGAGAATCAGGCCCATAATCTTTATAAATATATGCACTTTGTTACATTAAGGTTATTTATTACATTGCACTCATCCTAAGTATGAGATGGAGATTTGCCATAGATAACCCATAATCCAGAATTAAACTATTAATATGCATTTTGAGAGTGGCAGCCATAACCTTGAAATTCCTTGGTTTAAGTGTGACCTTTAACTTTGTTTGAATATATTTTTTTAAACATATGAATAACAAATTAACATCGGTTGATAAAAAGCATTCTGATTCCTTTGTAGCATTTGCACCAATCCATACTTAACTTACACAAAGCCTTGAAGATTAGAAGGCTTAACCACTCATAATATTTATTTGTTTTTAAATGTCAGATCACATTTAGTTCAACATGCTGTCAGTCCTCGTCCTCCCCACACTCCAGTGTTAATGAAAGTGCAGTGCAAAGTATTCTTTTTGTGTCCAAAGACATACGCTTCTTAGAAAAATGATAAAACATATTGTATGGCCTATGTAAGTGAATTGTTTTCTGTATCCTGCTGGACTTGCAATTAAAATCTGTGCTGCTTTCTTGATATGTCCTCCTACTTCCAAAAGACCTGTTGTAGGAAGTGATCAAATTAACAGTTGCTTGGATTATTTTTTCCTGTCCTGCAGTCATGTCTCTTCTTAGAGAAGCTGGGCTATAAACAGCAAAGGCACAATAGCTGTTTTTCTCCTATTCCACCAAGAGAACGACAGCTTCCAACCTTTTTCACATGTTGTGTGATGGTATATTGGAAAGAGTAGGTTACTCACGAAAATGTCTGTAAAAGTACCCTATTCCGGACAAGATGCTGCATGTTTTAGAGCCCCGCTTTAAGCATAATACATTACACTGTGGCAGAGGTCTTTTTAAGGATGTACCGAAAAGAAATAAAACCAGTAATTACAGTATTGCACGGATTTTTTCACCAGCTGTCTGAATAAAACTACAGATTTCCAGCATGTTTTGTTTTTTAAAAAAGTTCTTCCTGAGCTGCAGTTCCACAAAGCTCTGAGCACGTTCTTTAATCCATTCCTGTTAACCAAAGCATTTGAAATCAGTGAGACTCTGGACTAGATATTTGAATTAATTTTTCTTTCTTGGGTTTAGTTTCTCTTTTGCCCACTTTTCTTGGATTCAGGTATGAGATGAAGAGCAGGCGACACTTCCTGAGTAGGTATGTGTGGAAGACAGGAAGGGGAAAATGGAAATGACAGGAACCCTCTTCTCTGAGGCGATATTGTGCTAGATGCTACACAGCTAACATAAATGTCACAGGGACTGGGAAACTCAGCTATCTGTAAACACGATGTATAACCAGATGTTAAAAGGCACTCACATTACAGCTGTACCAAACTGAACCTCAGCAAACGTATATTGACTTAACTGTGGCATTTTTGTTTTTCTTTTTGCAGTCCACACCTGAAGTTTAACAATCTGACCTTGATTTCAATTCATGGGCTTCCAGGAAAAAATCCACCAGGCTCCAAACATGGAAGATTTTTAATTAACAGGTTTGATTTAATATCTAAGCACTTCCATAGCTTCAAAGGAAAATACAACATTTTGCAATTCTTTGTGAATTTATCCTAAATTTTAGATAGATCTATTGACAGATAGCCTCGAAATAATCCTATCTATCTATAGACCATGCATTCGCCTGAGAAACAAGTTAAATATAATTATCACTAGGGGAATACTGCAAAGCATAAAGCAGTAACTTCAGGACGACAGCCCATTGCGTTACATGAGGACACTGGCCTCTCTGCTTTCCAAGACTTGTAAGACAGTTTAGATTTCTGGGTTAAAGAAAAATGAGAAAAGTTGACCATTTGCTTTTTTAATATTGTTTAGTTTTTAACTTCAATGACTTTTGTTCCAGATGATGCTGAACAAAAGGACATATAAGACTTTTAGTATTAGCAAGGTGAATAGTGATCTCCTTAGAGCAGACACATGGTAAAATGCAGCTGATTCCCACTGATCCTAGTGGGAATTTAACTGCTGATGTCAGCAGGTTCAGAATTGCACACAGCCCGAGGAAGGCCAGGGACAAGCTATTGCCATGTTCTGTTTCTACTTATGTAAGAAAGGCTGGGGTGACTGAATGTCTTTCCCAGAGGCTGTGTTGTTGCCATAACCATCTGATGGCTGGTTAGCAGACAAGAGCGTCTGGATCACTGGGGAGGTGCGAGGGAACGGGAAGGACTGTACTGATGGATGTCTGACAGCCTGGGGGGTAGCTGAGTGTATTAGGGAAAGTTCAGGGTTATTGCCGTTGTCAGCTTTGGAAGAACTGTGCTGCTTATGAGCTGTTTGCAGACTAGTCACTGGACTGTGTTCTGCAGTCTAGCTCCAGTCCCTGCCAGAGTGCTCTCTCTCACTCTCACGCTTCCTTTGGCTGAAAGAGTTGCGGTTCTAGTGAAAAATAGCTCAAGGGAAGATTATGAAAGATAACTATGCTTGTGTCCAGTGAGTGGTCTCACATTTCATAAATTTTCTTGTTTTCTGAAAAGTTTCCATTCTTTTACCCTCTTAAAATTCACAGTATGTTATTATCATTTAATGTATTCACCAGGATAGTATTTATATTGGCATACTGACTAGGAATTCTTGATATAGGCTAGAACATGGTTCTTCTGGACACTAAGAAACACAGAACCAAAATATGTTAGTTATTTTGAATATAGGGGAAATAGCAGCTTGGTATAATATATTTATATTTGGCATATAACTTTTGGTAACCTGCATTTTGTTTTTCTCAAATCTTTCAATCAGGACAGGCTCTTTAAACTACCAAAGAACTCAATATCTGCTTGCTGAGCCTTCAATATGCAATCTCTACAGAGACATAGACATGAAAATGTTGTGATGCTTACTAGTTTAAAGCTAGCTAATCTCATTTGGAATTTTGCCCTGTCAAGGAATTTTTGATAGATAGTGACCTGACTTAATTTTTCATTGTAGGAAGGCGTACTTTTCAAGTACAAATCTAGTAAATGAAGGAATTATATGTACAAACAACATGCACACACTGGCACTTACTAAGTAAAACACTTCCCTAAGTATAATGTAAAAAAGGAGTTATACTGGTAATTACAAAATATCTATCCCACCGGAAAGTTGTAGTCCATAGCTGCCTCACCAGAACACACAGAGAAAGCAGATTAAGGGTGAAAATTGAACTCTGCAGGGTATGATTTTTGAAAGCATCCCTGTGATTCTGGAGTGTCAATCTCCTGGGAGCTGTGCACCTCAATTATGAAGGTGCTTTTGAAAAGCCTCATCTGTCCTTGCTGTCCATTTTATTTATAGATTTCTGCATGATTATGGTTTAGAATTGTCAATGGTTTTCTTCCCTTACTTATTTCCCTCCAGTGTTTGTGAATATGGAGAACGCAGAGCACCTCAGAAAGCCTGGTCATTCAGTTCTAAAAGTCACCAGGTCATGAAAACAACTTTATTTGCTTCTCTGGCTTATGACAATTCTGGGAACTCAGTATGAGCAATTAATCTGCAGCAATCAATTCTGATGATTTAGAATGTATATTCTGGTACAAATGGCAAAATAATAACAGCTGTTAGTGCTGAATCTCTCTCCAGTATTCTCTGTTGCAGTCGCATGGTAAAATCTGAAGGCATCAGATGCTCAAGCATGAGTCGAGTCCCCTTTTATTTAATCATGCTGCATTTAGTGCTGTTGAAGAAAGTGGAATAATTTTTATCCCTCAGCATCAATAGAAAGTAAAGTTACGGAGCCTCTCGATGGCAGTGAGCTTTATTTGGTAGATGACTTCAGATCAGAGACTGAGTGAAGTCCAAGATTTTTTTATTGATCTTTCTCCTGTCTCATAGGCATGAGGTGCTGCTAGGGGCAAGCCCCAGTTTCCTTTCAGGTATGATGTGTGAGTTCCATCTCCTTGCCATGTCACTTCTCTCATCTCGTAAACGAGACTTCTTTGTAAAATGAGCCATTCCTCTTTTTTGCTTTTTGCTTATTTAGAAGCTATTTTACTCTTCTCTGGATTCTGCAGGTTCATCCCTCTTCAAGGCTATAAACAGATTTGGGATTAGCATTAATCTTCAGTTCTACAGGAAGAACCTTATTTTAACAGCATTTTTCCTGTTTTAAGTTTTCAGTGTCAGGAAGCTATTGAGCCTGGCTGGATTTGAAGGATGGCCAGCAATCTGTTATTTTCATAATGGGCTATTGCAACGCTCAGTGGTGTTCAAGAGTCATCTTGGACCAGGATGAGAACATTATCTCTCTGGTCCTCCATGCATTTTATAGTGATATGTCTATAATACATCTATATTGAATTATTTTTTTCTTTAGAAATCTTTGGCTGCAGGATCTCTGCCTTTCCAGAAGTTGTTAAGCAGAGAGGGCAGTATAAACGCAATAATAAATAATAAATATCCTGGTACTTGTTCATTTGGGCAGGATCATAAGAGACCTTTGGAAATCTTTTTAGTGTTTATTAAATTGAGGCAATGAGAATTTTTAATTTCATTCTGATTTTGCTTTAAAACTGGCTTTTCAAATAGCAGCTTCTAGATCTTTCTACTTTCATCATACATATGGATATATGTTAGAGTTTACATTTAAAACAGGCTACAACACGTCTGAGATTTAAGAACTGCAGAAGTAACTCTTACCCCAGATTTTCAAAATCAGCAAGCAATTTGGGGTTCCTTAATTTTTTGGTGTCAATACTGAAACATACTGCCAGAACCTGATTCTCAGACTCCTGTCAGGGTGTCTCATTTGGACAGCAGGACCATGAGACCACCACAATCATTAGTGACTTCCAGAAGTTGATTAGGCTTTTATTTCAGCAGAATCACTGCTTTCAGGTGGGCTTTTCATCTAAACTTTGCAATGCCATTGAAGCTCATAAGACTGTACTTTATAACCAGGGACATTATCTTTCCAGGAGAGTCTTAACTGGTAAGATAACACATGATGCAGGAAGGGGAATATCAGCTTACTTCTTAGATATAGGAATATGTTTGCATCGCTAGCTGTTAGACAAAGAAGCAGCACCTTTGGTTTGGACTGAGTCGCTGTCACACAGGGTAAATGTGGAAATTTCCAAGAGGTGAATGGTGAATCAGGATGGCCAGTGTAATGGATATTTGCTCTCTCATCTTACAAGCTACGTGGTTTAATTTTAAAATCTGAGTTTCCTTAGAAATCCAAACATATTCGAAAGAACCTACTTTCCATTTCAGAAGCTGGTGTATCTTTACAATCTTGATTCTGTATTTCAAAGCCACTTTTAGAAGTAGGACTCCGACTTGTGTGTTCCATTGATGTTTACAAAAATATTCCCTGCATGTCTGGTGTCCCCATAATTCAACCTGTCCAAAGGTAGGAGAAGAGCAGGAAATGTACCTCAGCAGAAGAGAGTGACTTTAAATCTCCTTTCTCTCTTACCTAGGAGATTCAGGGACAAAATGCCCTGGAAACTATAATTACTGTATGGAACAAGGCTTTGCTTCCTAAAACAAATAAACAAACGTTTGGATTGTTTATTAATTAGCACTGAAAGTAATTGCTTTGAAATTATAAAAATTGCTTTTCCATTTTCGTTGAAAATAAATTGTTGGCCAGTTACAATTTAGGGAAGATCAGTATTTTTCTCATCTCTGCTGTTCCTCTCTCTCTTTCTCTCTCTCTCTCTCTCCCTCTCCCCCTCTCTCTCTCTCTCTTTCTCTAATTTACCTGCCAATTTTGTTTTCTTTTGGGTAGCACTTGTGATAACCTCTCCTTTACTCCTGTTAGGATTCAATTCTTCTTACAGAGGAATTCAGATGCATCTTATAGACTTTTGAAGGTTTAGGGGTGGAGGTTAGTTCAGTATGTTTTCACTATTTCTCATCTTTGCATTTTGGAAAAGCTCACTTGGAAAGGGTGATATCCCTACCTTTTACCTCCGGCTTTGACAACTATTTCCCTAGCTATCTATTTAAACTGTCCAGACTAAAACTATGGGACACGGATGTTAAAATATCAATGGCACCTTTATTGCATTTGTGTTCAAGTGCGGTTGTGCGTATCCACTGCTAGTGAAGTCGAATACCAAATGAAGCAAAAGTGGAAAAAAATTAACAAAGGAGTCTTATATAGGAGAATAAAATAGATAGCTAAAATACTTTCTTTTGCAGGTGCAAAAGTCTGCTTGTTGCATCATCCCGCAAGTTAAAAGCAGAGTAAAGCATATATTTCTGACTTTGTTTTTAAATTCCATGGTAGTATGGCCCAATGCTGGGAGGGATTATTTGATTTTAGCAGAAAGTTGTCAATTTGTAACTGAGTATTTCATAATGAATACTCTTTTACTATAGACTTTTAGTAAGCTCGCAGCAAGAGAACAGACTTGAACCACTAGGGGACTTCAACTAACTCACCAGATGTCTAATTAATGCCTGCTGTCAGCTGCTAAAATGTCACTTACAGATATTCTTTCTTCACAGCCACTGTTTTAATGATCAAGATTATGCACAGATGTCACTTTGTTCCTGGGTTAATGTTGTGGTTGGTAAAATGACTGGCATAAATCGAGCTGCCAAACATGTAGTTGTTTCCAAGGGGAAAAAAGTGCCATATGACCACCTTGTTCTCTGTACAGGACAGCAATACCAGGTAAGAGCATGTGCAGAATCATGCACAAAATCAATACGCTCAGTGTTTACAGTGCATAATAGTTCTGTGGTCAGCAAAGGAGTAGAGTACTCCCTAGCAAGGGTATAACCAGAAGGGTTGCAGCCCTTCAGTGGAGCAGGTTGTGCTGTTTCAGTGCACGTATAGAGCTTGGAGAAGTAAAATATATTTGAGTAGATGAAAGAGGCTTTACGAGATTTTCTGCCAGTAGTGTCAGAATCAGATATTAAGCAAAGCTCCAGGTATTTTTTCCACTGTGACCATTACCCCTGCTGAAGAGTAGGCCCAACTGACATGTGGCAAATTCACCCCAGCTACCAGAGATTTAACTCCAGCTGGTGTAACACCATTTGACCTAGTTTTGGCAATGGGGGGAGCTTCCTATCAAATTAATTACTCAGTTCACATGATGGCTATGCCTGGGCACATACATAGTGTATTATTGTGTCTGCATTATTGTAGCATGCACTTCAGTAGAGGTTCAAGGGAGGTAAAATGCTGCGGAGAAGGTGGGCTCTGTTACTCTGTGAAGTCCTACAGCGTTTGTTTTGGGGGATGAAGTTTCAGGAAGTGAGGGTGACAAGTGAGAAGGATGGGTTCTGCAGCGGAGGTGGTTTGCTTTTGTCTTGGTGGAAACTGAAGCAGTTTTTCCAT